ACCATAAAGTGATTTCTATAATTTGCAAATCTTTCCCTGAATTATTAGATGAATCTAGTATTAAAGGGATCTTTATATAAACCTTTTCCTCGAGCTCTCCATTTAAGAAAGTATTTTTTTTATATCTATTTGATGCAAAGCATCATCCAGATTTACTACAATGGATAGCATAACCCAAATATATTTCAATTTTACCACTAATACAAATGTTTCCTAATAATTTATCCCATATGATTGAGTGCATCCTTGAGCCACTAATCTAGCTTTGTACGGTTGACGCTACCATATGCATTATATTTTACAAAAAAGATCCACTTGCATCCTATTGGTCCTTTTTCTTGTGGACATGCCATTCTTTTCTAAGGCCTTGAGTTCTTCATCTATTGTTGCCTTCCATTGAGGTTGTTGTACAACCTCATAGAAAATTTGGGACATTTTGATATTGTTCATATTTATAACAAAGGCCTTATAATCATGTGACAATTTCTCAAATGACATCTAATTTTCAATTAGGTGTTGGGTGTAAAACCTCACCTATCTTCTTAAAGAAATAAGAATGTCCAAATGTTTCCTTCATTGTTTTCTTTCTTTTCCTCAATTCATTGTATCTCTCTAAATGATTTTATAAATAGTAAAAAATGAACTTATCATTTTATATTGTTGACAAAAAAGAAATTAAAAAAATGCAAGATATACATTGTTTATTGTCTTGTTGTGTTTGACTATAATCTAACTTGGTCAATTCACTATAAATGTCGAGTTACCAATTTTTTTAAAAACTAATGAATCATACTAGTTTGTACTAGTTTATTAATGTTTTTGATTTATTACACAACTTAAATAGGCCTATTGATTAGTTTTCCAATTCATCAAATTAACGGTCAATTCAAGTCAATTTTGTTTAACATTTCTACTAATCAAGACCAAATTTAGATTAATCTTTAAAAATAAAAAACCTATTTGAATATTTTAAACTAACTAACCCGAAGTTCACTTTTCACAATTAAAAATAAAAAAAATTAAAGTACTTAATATTTTAGATCTCTTTATTATTTTTTTTTATGTGATATTTTAAAAATTTATTTTTTATGCACTTTTAAAAAAATACTAAAATTATTAGTTATTTTAAATATTTTCTTTATATTAATTAACTTTTTTTCACTTTTAATTTCGAAGTTTACTGAATTTAAATCCTTAAATCTAAGTATAATTGTGATCTGACCTCTATTCTCAATGTCAAAACATGCTCTAAATCCACTATTATTTGGAGAAACATTGTTAAAGATTATAACTATGTTGATCATGATATTGTTTAGATGACTATAGATAGTAACATGACTATATTTTGAGAGGATTAGTTGATTCTTAGTATTGAAAAACTTAGAACCTCTTTCTTAAAAAAAACACTTTCATGTTGTCTCTTATGTCTTAAATAATTTATAGAATTAAGATATGATTAATAATTTTTTTATTTTAATATTTATAATAAAATTACTACTATGGTTCCTTTTGATCCTAAAGTTGAAAATGATCTCTTGTGTAGCATTAGGATTGAAATTATGCTTTTTCTCTAAAGTTTTTATGAAGTTATTTTTAAAGTATTTTTTCAATTCTCAAATAATTTTGTGTTTGGTAACATTTGAAAATTTATTGGTCTACTAAATCTTTAAAGTATATTCTCAATTCTCAAATAATTTTGTCTTTGGTAGCATTTGAAAACTTATTAATATGCGAAAAGTTAAACATTTTCTATGAATACTAGGTTATGAATCTTTTCTTACAAATTCTAAAACAAGAGAAGAGAAATATCTAATAATGATTTGTGTCCTATAAGTTATTATTCTCCTAAATTTATCACGTGTACAATTTAGGATTATGATCATTTAAAGGGCTTTGAGAATAAATTATTGATCATAGAATGCGAAGTTCCTTTTTTAAGTTATGGTATGAGTTTTTCTATCTCTTTGAATCTTAAGAAATTAATTAAATGGTCTCAATTGTGTAATAGAGATATAGTTTATAGTGTATCTTGTTGGTTTATTTGGTAAGACAAATAAATTAATTTTCTCTCAAAAATTCAACTTAAATAATAATATTTTGAATTACATTTAAAGTTATTGCTTTTTCTCTCATAATGCTAATAGTTCCTTTTCCTTTCATTTATAATCATAAATGAATCTTTGTTAGCTAAACTTCTCGTCCAAATGATTTCTTAAAGTTTAATGTTAATGGTTTAATTATTTAATTCGATGGTAGAAATATTTGTGGAGACTTGACTAGAGATAATATGAAAAAGTTCATTAAAGAATTCTTGAGTAATTTTAATTCATGGTCATTCATAAAAGCTAAATTATGGAAGATTTATCTGTAATTTAAGATTTTTCAATATCATGAATGTGAATAATGTCATCATTGAAATAAACTCATAATTAATAATTAATCTAGTGTTGCTATTCTAGTCATTAATTCTTAACTTTGATTATAAATATTAAATTCATTTTGAGTACAAATTATCATATTTCTATCCATCATATTTTTATAGAAGCCAATAAAATTTGTTGATTTATTAGTTAATTTGAGACATTAAGCTTTCATTAACACTAGTGTTATTAGTAATCATCTTGAATCATGATTTTTTTTTTCTTAAGGACGAAACTTATAGGATCTTTCTTGCTATATTAGTTTTGTAGTTTTAGCCTTCACTTTTGTATTCATAAAAAAATTTCAATTTCACTTTTAATTATAGTTAAAAGTTTTTTATATTAATTTTTATGTTAAAATAGTATTTATTTATTTGTACTCTAAAATTAATTTTCCTTAATATTTTAAAATTTACACTTTTTAATTTCTATTTAAATTATTTACGTATATTACAAAAATTTAAAAACACAAGTATAACATACAGATTATTTATTATAAATATTATAAACTTACAGATTATTTATTATAAATATTTTAATAGTTAATATTATAAATCTTTCAACCTATTGAAATATTATTAATTTGTGCATTGCACGATTATAATAAGTATAAAAATTATGTACATTTAAGTATAGTAAATTTTTTAATTAGTAAACTAATTATGGTATCTCATAATTATGTCAGGTTTTTATTTTTTATTTTTTTTCATAAACATAGTATTGAAAGATTATATAAAGAAAAAAAATGTATAAACATAAGCTATGAAACATAGACTCTATTAAATTAAGTAAGAGAAATATTAATAACATATTTTTTAACGTATTTTTTAAATATATTTTTAATTTTTAATTATCTACTATTAAAAATTATATAAATTTTAGGTTTTTTTACTTTTAAATTGATATTTTTTCTCATATTTTATTTTAATAAATTTTAAATAATAATTAAAATTATTTAAAAAAACGTGCTGAAAAGTTTTAGTAGCCTAGCCTTATGAAACAGATAGGTTTAATTATTTAATTATCCATAGATATATAGAAATAGATGGCCCATTCTTAGCCAAAACTAACGGCCGACGGAGAGATCTGAATAAGGGTAGCTTTGGAAATTCAACAAATTATTGGATATATTATTTAAAGTTGATATCTTTAAAACAGGTCAAGTAACAAAACAAAAAAGAACGCTTCGTAGTTTAAATAAAAATTAAAAGTATTTAATTAAATTTATAAAATAACTTAAGATTATTTTATAATTTTTAAAATTTAGTTTGGTAGGTTTTAACAAATTTTACTAATATATTTATTAAAATAAACTTACAGAGAAACTTCCCCTTGTAAATAACGACTCTTTGAAATTTTTTCACAGTAAGATCATTCAATTATGCACCTATGTCACAAGTTTTTACATAATAAACACGTGTATTTAATTAAAGTATTACTTTTATAATATGTGCCTAAAAGGATAGGTTAAGAAACATTAAACATATTTTATTAAATAATTTAAATTATTATAAAAAATTATGTATTGAATATTTTTATAATTATGAAATATAAAAATATTTTATGTTTTAAAAAAAGCTGTTTAACTTATTTATTCAACCGCGCGTGCCCTAATTTAAATATAATATTTGCAACAATTTTTTTAAAAATTGTGTGTAAAAATAAGGAAAAATTTATACAAAACATGTATAATATGGAAGCTTTTGTTAAAATATATAAAAAGTGTAAAAATATTTATATTGTCATTCAGTTAATATTTTATTTTCAATTAAATAAATATTATTCATTAAATTACTAATTTTAAAAATTAAGATTAATAAAATTGATTATTGATTAAAAAAGTAAAAGTTGAAATACATGAATCTTTTAGTTTATTTAGCTTTATTCTTATTTTTTTAAAAAAATATACTTCCCTTTTTGATAAATAATAATACTTACTTTATAGATGTGTTTTTATATATTTTTTATTTATATTTTTACATACATTATTATTTTTAAGTTCAATTGTATTTTTATTGGAATACTTTAACACGTGTGATTTTAGTCTTTATAATTGTGATCGATCAATTAGTTCTTTTAATTCTTTAAACGTGTGATTATTATTATTTTTTGATTACCCACATTTAAACTCTTAAATTTTTAGAATATGTAATTTTAATATTTTTAATTTTAATTGTTCATATTTTTTTTAATTTTTAAATTTGGATTTTGATTTCCCTTTTAATTTTAAATCTTCATATTTAATTTTTAAAAATTTTCAAATATTTAAATTAATTTATTCATTAAGAATTTTATTTTATTTTTATTTATAAATTTAGATATTATTTGAAAAATATAAAAAATATTTAATAATTAATAAATTTTATAAGTATAGAAAATAAAATAATTTAAAATAATGTTTAATATTATTATAAAATAAATAATTTTGACTACCAAAACGTGAATTAGTAAAAGAAATTTAAAGTCACAGGTGTATTAAATATTTAAGAAAAAGCTTAACCATGTTATGTCCAATAAGAGATAGATGTTTTAAAGAAAAATAAATAACTTAATTATCTCACTAAATCCTTTTCAAAATTGTAAATAGGCATTTATTATATATACAGATGACATGTCATTTCCGTCCACCAAATGTCATGCGCGTATTGGAAACGACGCAATCTTTCGTTTTCAGTTCAATTTTTCAACCTTTTTACATAATCGCCTCACAACGCATTGTCACTGCCCATTCTGCTCCAGAGCTCTTCACAGAACAAACCCACTCAAACAAATTACAAAGCATTTGAGATGCCAATAAACACCCACTTCCAAGAAGACAAAAGGGAAGCTCCTATCCATGGAGACATCTTAGAAGCCATATTCTCGCACGTGCCACTCATACACTTGGTACCAGCTCGTCACGTGTCAAATGCCTGGAAGCGTGCCGTGTCCTCATCCCTCCGCCACGTCAACCCCGTCGAGCCGTGGCTCACGGTGCACATCCAGAGCAACCGTGCCCTGCACGTCACCAACACCTTCGCGTACGACCCACGCTCTCGCGCGTGGCTTCAGATTCACGCGCCGCATACCCACCACTCCTCTCCTCTCCGCGCGTCGCATTCCTCCCTTGTCTACACCCTCTCCCCCACCGAGTTCACCTTCTCCCTCGACCCCCTCCACCTGACATGGCACCACGCACATGCTCCGCGCGTGTGGCGCACCGACCCAGTCGTAGCGCGCGTGGGAACCTCCATCGTTGTAGCGGGAGGCGTGTGTGACTTCGAGGACGATCCCCTGGCGGTGGAAATGTACGACACGGAGTCCCGCGCGTGGGTTATGTGCCCGTCGATGCCAGCAATACTGAAAGACTCAACGGCGTCGACGTGGCTCTCGGTCGCCGTCGCTGGGGAGAAGATGTACGTGACGGAGAAAAGCTCCGGTATGACGTGCTCGTTTGATTGCAACACGACGACGTGGCAGGGGCCATACAACCTGCGTCCCCACGAGAGCGTGGTGGGCTGCGTGACGGGAACTATACAGCGTCGTTTAATGGTTCTTGGGTTGATAGGGGACGCGGAGAACGTGAAGGGGGTGAAGTTGTGGGAAGTGAAGGGGGAAAGTGAAGTAGGGTTGTGGTGTGAGGAGGTGGGGGAAATGCCGAAGGAGATGATGCTGAAACTAATGGGTGAGGATGGTTGCTTTGGGGTGGTGGGGTCCATTGTGGTGAATTGGATTGGGGATTTTGTTTATGTTCAGAACCCTATGCAGGTGGAGAACATGATTGTGTGTGAGGTTGTTGGTGGTGGTGCTCGAGGAGGGTGGAAGTGGTCCACCGTCAAGAATCTTGTGGTCAACGACGCCACTCGGATGGGGAGAATGCTGTTTTCTGGCGGTGACGTTGGTGTCCACGATTTGCAGACAGCGCTTTCGGCGAATTGTAGGTTTGTGCTCAAAGACATTATGTGTCTCCGATTTTAACTGTATAGAACTACTAAGCCTGTGTCTGGAATGAAACTGTAAACGTGCATATATAATGCAGCGATGAAATAAACGTTTACTTCTGATTATTTAAACGTAAATTTAAATTGAAACTCGTTATTTTATATTATTGTTTTTATTTTGAAAATATATCTTAAATGTTACAAAATAATACATTTTAACAATACAAAAATTGTTTTGCTCATAATAAGGTTTATGTGTTCTCCTGAAATAGGTATCTCTTTCATGATATTATTACACCATGCAGAGAGGAAATTGTCTGAATGGCACAGATATGCTATGATGCTACATGACGATTGTTATGGGTAGGGAAGGTTTTAAGATAAGAGATTTTAATCTCGAACAGTTCTCCACTTAAGTGCATTGTTTTAAGTATTTTAATATTGCTTGTGATTTAAATTTAGATATAATTTTTTAAGAAAGAAGATTATATAATTTTAAAATAAAAAAAAAGTAGTAGATGCATAAGGAAAAACAAAATTCATTCTAATTAATGAACAACACTGGCTAACAGTAGCTACAAAATAACATGTAAACTTTTGCTCTAAGATACACCCGTCAATTGCATTGTATTGAGCTATCTATTCCTTTGCTATTGTTTTGTATGGGACAGCAAGATCGTGTACGGCGTGCGAAGATGAGAGGTTACGACAACGCTGCTTTCATATTTTTGTTTTGTTGCGTTAATAGTAGCTCTTGATGTGAAATTCAGAAAATTCACTTGTTCCTCATTGATGGCCACAATTGAATCCCACCAGGTTTTAATCAAGTAGAAGAACAATACAAATCTCATATTTGGCGAGTTACTCCAAGTTGGAATTTTTACTCTTTTTCTTGCTTGCAGTGAGATAAATTAAATTTTATTATTTCTAAAATTTAAATGATATCTCTTTATCTTACAATTTTAATTCATAAAAGTTGCTTTAATAATAAAGTTTTTACTGCTTAATTGATAATAATAAAAGATAAATTGTTATTTTTTTTTTTATGCAATTGTTACTTGGTTTTAATATTAAGCCGTCATTCTCATCAAAAGAATGATTGAGGTGGTGTAGACACAGAGAAATAATTATATAATTTAAAGAAGTGTATGAACGATTAATTTTTAGCAATACCGTAGCTAAGTGGCTTTTAACTAGGTTTATAAATGATTTTATGGTTTAAATTTTTACATATAAGCATATGATAAAACTCAAATTTTAGTTATCAACTTTTTTAATATCTCATCAAGGACACGTGGAAGAAATCGACAAATAGTAAGTTTTTATTAAATTTATAGAATTTTACCAATGCATTAAATTTAATAACATCATATAACTTTTAAAATAGCTTATTTGGTTTAAATATTTAAAGAGGGTATGTCAAAATTATAAAACTAAGTTATGTATAAAATGTTTATGAACCGACGATGGAGACTTAAACATTAAAGAAAAAACATATATAGCAATACGATGTCAAGATCTGTATTGTATTACACTGAAAATTTTATTTTTTGTCAAAGGCACAATCAAGATTGAACCTAACTTTTTTAGTATCGGACAATAGATTGATCCTAACCCAAACTTTCATGTAATTACATATTTATTATTCACCTATATCTGTTAAGGACCAATTAATGTGATGTGTTATGGCCAAATCCAGCTCTTCATCGACACATACAATACAAGGATGTCGTATAGCCTATGGTCCCATGATGAGTTGAATGTGGTTCATACTTTATAGTAAATTGGGCTATTGCAAATAAAAGTTCGCAAGAATAAGCAGATAGAACATTGAGGAAATAAAATTAAGATTAGACATTATATGCTGTTAAGAAATATCTATTTCCTGCAAATTAGATTTCATAAATTCTTAAAAAGCTTATGATAATACCAACAAATAAATATTTGATAACTCAATTTCGATACCGATGGCTTTACAAAAAGTGAATTTCAAAGAGCTTAGGAAAAAAATTTATATTTTATGAAGATAAATTATATTTTTAACTTACTTCGACAAAGTTATTGATATAGTTTATAAAGATAAATAATTTTCACTGTGATTAAATTTATATCATAAATCTTTATATTTAAAAAACATTATTGAATTAATATTTAATTATGCTACTTATTCAAACATATCCTAAATTGAAAAAATTCAACTAATTTAAAATGAATTAACGAATAATTTATTTAAAAAAAAATAAAAGACATCTTTACTGTTAATAAAAAAATTAAAGAGAATTCAAAAAACTATAATAATTTATGATGCATGTACAAACAATATTCAATATTGATTTTCTAATTAATACTTGAAATTCCAAACCATTTCCGGAAATTTTTTTTATTATTATCATCTAATGATATGTTTACCACTTTACCTTATTAAGAGATGGGCTTCATAGACAATAGTTATGATATTAATAGGGAAGCTATAACATTTCTTATCAATTTGTGATTGGATATGAAAGGATAGAAAAGTTTTAAGACTAAATAAATAAATAAAAATAGATAAAAGAAAGAAAATTGTAAATGAGTACTACATCAACATTTCCGTTCATCATCTAAAAGTTATATAATTTAAATAATTCACAAAAGTCATTTAATAAAATTTTAGAATTTAAAGAGCATAGTCTTCTAAACAATTTAAAGAAACTAAAAATCTTTTCATTTATAAAATAAGAAAACAATAGTCTCAACTATTTTATCTCACTAAGTTATGTGAGACTAGAGTATGACTAAAATCTACAACTAGTAAAAGTTCTACATAAGAATTTTAAGCTAGAAAAAAAAGGGTACTTAAAAAAAGTATTTATTAAATATGGTTAAATTGAATATTGTCAACTTAGAGGTTCAAAAGTAGCAATTAGAGCAACTAGAGCATGTTTTGTGTTACGAACTCAAACACACACCAAAAAATTCATGTTATTTGACTTAGTCATTGAATGAAAATCTTATTGTTTGGATGCTTTTTTATTTTAAAAATATTTTTTATTTCAATTAAAAGGAGTGTCATCTTGTAGACCCCTTAACCCGAGTTTATTAATATATCCTTTCTTTATAATGAAAGAGGAGAAAAGAAACTATCCAGTAAATATTAGAGTTATTTTGGTAGAACCCTAATCTCTTTTAGTTTTTCTTAGTAGATAACCATAACTTCCATTACTACAAAAAGATTAAAATCTTATCTTAACATTTAGTACTTTCATTGTGAACACCACCCTCCCACCTCTTCTATAACTGTACTACTCCAACTCCAACCATTGCTACAATTACTAAGTAGCTACAACATCTAGCTACCAGGCTAGACAACCATCAAAATACTATGGATGCAAGACATGAATCTCTCATCACCATCATGGCCAACCTCATGAATTGTATGCTTCATACTCCATCTCCTTCAAAGATAAATTCTCCTTCCATTATTCACTCTATCTCTATTTTCAACACACTTACAAACCCACCACTTAATCCTTCCATTTCCTTAGTTATTCCATATGTTCCCTTATCTATACCACCTTCATCCACTCCCATTTATTCCACCATTTCACCCCTCATTTCCACACCCCTAACCCTCTTGATCCCCTATTTTCCCCAAATTTTCTCATACCACCACTTACCATTCACATCCCTCCATTACACTCTCCCTATCAAATGCACCCTACCCCAGCAATCAAAATATTATCAACTACCTAAGTTATAGCTTAGTATTTTTTACAGTAAATATCCACTTGGTTGGTTGTTTCAAGCAAATTAGTTTTTTCAATTTTATCAAATTTTGTTGGAACAACGTTTGCCTTTAATTGCTTTTTATATGCAAAGGGATGCATTAAGCTAGTTTCAATGGATCTACTATAATCATTAGCTTCACAATTGGTTTTCTTTTACTCGAGCCTTAGAAGTTCATTTTGGTCCTTCAGCTTATGAAAGCCTTTAGGAAAAATTATTTAAATTGAGGCAGTTTGGTTCTATTGTTGATTATCAAGTGGCTTTTGAATGTCTTTGCAATCACATTTATGAGTTAACCTTATATATGATCCTAAATTGCTTAGTTTTGGGTTTAAATCAAGAAATTTGATGTGAGATTGCAGTTTTATAGCCCTATTCAATTTCTTATGCAATTGGCCTTGCTAAATTAGTGGAAGCCAAAATTAAAGATTCTAAATAAAAAATTTAGCTGTTTATCTAGCACTTATCCAAAAGCTAGCACCAAATTTCAACTCCCTCACCACCCACTCCACTTTCCAATGCTCCCCTACCTATTTAACATCTCACACAAGCCTAAATGCACAAGAGGCACACACAAGGCCTATGTTTTAATTGTGATGAGAAGTTAATAGCAGATCATCGTTGTGCTCAAAAGAAATTTCTATTACTCATGGTAGATGAGAAGGAGGATCAACCCCCTCAACCAGAAGAGAAGGTGGATTCTGAATTATTACTTGACTTTGATTGTGTCTATTTTCAAGTCACTCCACAAGCTCTCACTAGGCTAATGATAAGTGTCAATTTTTAATAATTTGCAATGCATATTTGACACTTATTTAATTCCTTTCATATAGTTTGTAATTTAATTTCCTTTTAATTTCAAGCAATTTAAATTTAACATCCTTTCAATTTGAAGCCATTTAAATTTAGTATTTATTGTTATTTTATTTAGGAAGAAGAAATATTTGATCCATTTTCTTGTGTGAATTTTCTTAGGGCAAAAGTTTGATGAGGATTGAAGGGAAAAGAGGCTGAAGTCACCTAGATTGATTAGCTCTCGCTCAAGCGAGAAGTTCCTTGCTTGAGCAAGAATGCATGTTGCAGACCTGACTCTCTGCTTAATGACCTTTGCCTAAGCGTGAAGCCCTGTTGCAAACTTAACTCTTTGTTTGATTCTCGATTAAGACAAAATTGTCTCGCTTGAGTGAGAATCCCTTGCCAGCCTGAGTGAGACATGTGGCTTGAGTGATATGTCTTCTCGCTTGAGTGAGAATGCTTGCCTAAGCAAGAATTCACTTATTTCCCCATTTGGAAAGAAGATTCAACTTAAGAAAAGGGAAGAGCCCGCATTTGATGACCTAATTTTAGAAGTGTAGAACTACGAATGAGGCTTGGGAGAGCGGTGAAGATCATTGGGAACCAATTTCTAACCCTTTTTCCTTTCTTTTCCTTATTGTAATGCACGTCATGGGTAGCTAAACCTTTATTGTGATTTGATATAATCTTCATAATTTGAAAACTTTGGTGTTTTTAATATGTTTGTTCATTTCCATAAGTTATGATTATTTCATTCTGTTACTAATACTTAATTCTACCTTATAGAGAATGATTCATGATTTGAGAATTGGGGTTAAGTTGAAAAACTATCTTGAAACCCTGTTTGAATGAAACTCCCAATGTGTTGGAAATGTAGGAATAGATTTCAATGTGTTGTATACTAAATAGCTCTTAATTGTAATGCTAGAGTATTTATTGAATAGA